TATATATATATATATATATATACACACACTATGTTGAGTAAATTGAAGGAGAAAAATAAAAATAAATACAATTCTTTTTTGAAAAAATGTAACTAATTTGTTTTTTTAAAGGATCCGGTCAAAAAAAGATTTTATCTCTAGAAAAATAAAACCCTACCATCACCGACAACCTATTTTGTCGTTTTAATGGCTGCCACGCCCAGTGGCCAACCTCCTCCTGAGGCAAGTCTCCTGGTAGTCCCTAAAGGACCTTATGCAGATTCACTAAGGCAGCCCCAAAGTGCCATTAAGCCCATTCCTTTGAAACTACTAACCTACCTGCATGGCGAACCACAAGTAATATGGGAGCAGAAAGAAGTAAATCAGATGATTATCAATGAGAACCTAGAGTACGCGGTGATTGGTAAGTTTTCTTATGGCTGGCCCGATATCTAGGATCTCAAAGAACTTATTCCAAAACAATGTGAATTAAAGGGAGAATGCAATATAAGCCTATTGAACAATAGACATGTATTAATAAGAGCTACTTTATTGGAGGATTATGTGCACCTACTATCGAAGCCAGCCTTTTACATAACATAGAAAAGTTTGTCTTACCCAATGAAAACCTTAAAGTGAGACCCAATGTTTAATCCGGAAGAGGAAACATCGACAACAATTGCATGAATTTCTTTTCCATCTTTACCGCAAAATTGTTTTGGGAATGAGGCAGTTTTCTTGCTAGCTGTTGCAGTAGGAAAGCCACTTCAGGTGGATATGACGACAAGGAATCATACACGGCCAAGCTACGCAAAAGTTAAAGTGGAGGTTGAAATTTTGAAGGAATTCCCAAAGCGAATTAAAATTGAAATGAGGAGGAAAAATGAGGAGGTGTTGAAAAAATGGATCAAAATCATGTATGACTATGTCTCAAAGTATTGTCAAACATGTATGATCTAGGGACACAATAAGGAACAATGTTATGTGGTACACCCAACATTATATCCAAAGGAGAGGACTGATCAGGGGAATGAAAGAAGGAGGGATATGATAATAACATTAATGAAGGAAATATGGTTAAGAGGAGTACAGGAAAAGAAGGTGACATACAAAAGGATAAAAAAGAAGAAGAATTTGTGGAACAAAGAAATAAAAATGGTGGGGGAGGAAGAAATAGACAACAGGAAAAGGTCTGGAACAAAGTAGGAATCACTACTGGGAACAAATTCAATATGTTGATACAAGGTAGTCAAGAGCTGGATGAGGAGTTAGAGAAAGGAAATGAGGCAGAAAAAAAGATCAATGAGGTAAACAAGGAAGATACCCCTGGGGTGCAAATGAGTGACAACAAGGAAAAGAAAATCAAAGCACAGTTGAGTACCAAGAAAGCTGACCCAGTTGAAGTGAGTAGCAATACAAAAATAGATAACCATTCTAAGGATAGACGATGCAGTCAGAAGGAAGAAAGAAGAAAGATGTGGATTTGGGGAGAACAATATGGAGGAGATGTCAACAAATAATAACAAATGGGAGGCCAGTCAAGCCAGAGAAGAGGAACGTAGTGAAAATGCTAATAGAAACTTATTTGGAATGAGTAAAGGGGCACCAAGCAAGAACAATTTAAATGACATTGATGAGCCAGAACTAGTTGCAAGGACAGAGCCAGATTTATTAGAAGAAACAAAGGAAATTCTACAATTTCAAAAGGAGACAGAGAAAGATGAGGACATGGAGTTTAACATCCAGCAGATTAGTAAAGCAGGAGATTTTTCACCAAGACATACCAATAGTCTTAAAAATGGTGCAAAAAAGGGCAGACAACTAATACCTTGGCAGGTAAGAACAAGGTGCTGGGAGAGGGCGATCAGGGATCAACGACTGATAAAATTCTTCTATAGAACATTAGATCTGTTAATACTCAAAAATATTTTGAGAGATTATTGGATCTAAATAAAAGACATCACTCATTCATAGTTTTGATGGAACCATTTCAAAATTCATCAAAGTTAGAACAATACAAAAGGAAGCTTGGTTTTGACAATGCGGGGGTTGGAGAAATGAGTGGGAAGGTAAAATTATTGTGGACACGGTGCAACAGGTAACCATAAAGTTCAAAATCAACAACAAGTCTTTCCTCATTTCGGTTGTCTATGCGAGGTGTAATGCGATGGAAAGATTAGAATTATAGAAAGAGCTACCAGGAGTTGCTGAGAGGGAACATTCCTTGGATTGTTGGGCGTGATTTCAATGTGATTTTAAATCAGAGGAGAAACTAGGAGGACTCACTTTCACTCAAAATGAGGCTATGGACTTTGCATCTTTCATTAGCAATAGTGCCCTAGTAGAAGTACAGTGTACATGAAGAAATTATACGTGGTAGAATGGGAGAATTGAAGGAGAATGTATATTTAAAATGTTGGACAAAATGCTGGTGAATTAAGAGTTTATGGATTTGTTTCCTTCATCAGAGGTGCATAACTTGATCATAATCATGCACCTTTACACATGATTTGCAACTCGATAGAAGATCCTATTATTAGACCATTAAGATTATTGAATCTTTGGAGTAAACACCAAAACTTTAAAAAGATGGTGGCTGAGAATTGGCAGGTGGATTTTGCTGGAAATCTATTTATAAAATTTCAAGCAAAAATGAAAAAGGTAAAATAAGTGTTGGCAGTCTGGAGCAAGGAGGTATTTGGCAATGTTTTTCAACAAATTGCCACTATAGAGGACATCATCAAAGTAAAGGAGACCTAATTGGAGATACAACCCTCAACAAGAAATAGGGCAGAGGTGAGCAAATTGGAAGCGGAACTCAAGAAATACCTGAGAATAGAAGAAGAATTTTGGAGGCAAAAGGCGAAAATGAAATGGGTTTTAGAAGGGGACAAAAACACAGTTTTTTCCACTCTTATGTTAAAGGAAGAAGAATAAGCTTCACATTAGGTAAATTATAACAGAGCAGGGGAATATTTTACAACTGAATTCTCAAATAGGACAAGCAGCAGTGGATTTTTATGCAGATCAATTTTGAGATAATAGTGTGCCAGCTAACTATGACATGCTAGATCATATTCTACGATGTATAACAGACGAGGAGAATGATGCA